TGCATCCGAGACCCAGCTATGTGCCTTAAGTGCAATTTAACATGGCTAGGTCCATGGTCCTGCAAGTATTTCATCCTCCACCTCATGTGTCGGCAGAAAAGGAGAGGTTCCTTGCTCTGCCAGTTAGAGCTTCTTGGAGGAGGTCGGACATACTGTGTTTTGGGTCACCTATTAGGGGCTCCCGGCTATACAAACCATAAGTAGGCCTACAAGGTGCGCAATTTGTCTTCACCTTTGACCGCAAGGGATCTTTCTACTAGAGGCATGGCGTCCTCTAGGGCCCTCCTCTCGGGAGTGCCCCTCCAGGAGATCTGTGAGGCAGCCGGTTGGGCTACCCCACACACTTTTATCAGGTTTTATAGTCTGCACCTCCCTAGTACGCCTGGCGCACATGTGCTCTCGTCCTAGCTGAGTGCCTGAGATCAGTTTCACTCTAAGGCAGGCCTTTTTCAGTGCGTGGCCTAGTGGGCATTCGTTCCCCAAAGGGTCGTTTTTCAACAACGCAGTGCGAGTTCCCTCGAAAGGGAACGTCTCGGGTTATGACTATAACCCTTGTTCCCTGAGAAGGGAACGAGACACTGCGTCGTCCTGCCCCGCCCCTCAATGCCTGAGAGCGGCTTGCTTCATCGCTAGGCTAATGTGTGTTTGTGCCGGCGTAACTTTTATGTGCCGTCACATGTTACATCATGACGCAACACCAATCAGGATTGGATTAGTTTCATTCATACTTCAGAGGCGCACGCTAAGGGAGCGTCCCCAAAGAGTCGGTTTTCAACGACGCAGTGTCTCGTTCCCTTATCAGGGAACAAGGGTTATAGTCATAACCCGAGACGTTTTGTCAAAATGACCTTTCTCTCATACTCAAAGTCCGAAATCTCCACTTCGGTAGCACCTATATACACCAAACTTTCCAGTCTTGTACCTAGTTATATTATGAAGACATTTACAGAGGGATTTGTAAATATATTATTCCTAGCCCGATTTATATAACATTTTATTCAAAAAAACATGGCAAAAATCATTTTATTAAGGCTATTGACAGTATATTCTGATTTATAGGATAACAAAAGTAGATATCCATAAATCCCTCTGTGATTTTTTCCCCCATCTAATATGTGAACACAATGAAAAAAGAATTTTAAACCTGGCTTTATCCAATACTCAGATTTCATTTTTTGAAATATATGCAAATTAGCACATATTTAATTAGATAATGCCTAATTTGCATATTTAAACATTAAATTACAGAAAACTTGTAATACATTTTTTTCTCATCTTAATGTAGGTAATCAACTGGGAAAATTTCATGGTGATATTAGGGCCGGGACTTTAACGCGTTAATTAAGATTAATTAATTACACACTTTAACGCGTTAATTAATTACACAAAAAATTATTTTAAATTTTGCACCGCGGAACGTTTCTCACTGGATGAGTTTCGGCGGACCGATTATACTGGCGCACCAACTAGCGTTCATGACGAAGAAGCTGACGAGATCGCTTTGGTTGGCCGGTGGCTGGGAAATGTTGTTACAAAAAACGAACGGATGGACGCGTCGATAAGAGCATGGTTGTCTATGCAACAAGGAATTCGCTATTGCTATTAGTGTAGTGTAGCAATATGCTATTTTGTTGCAATATGCTATTGCTACACTTAATGGCTATTATGGCTATTATGGCGCTTTTCCATTACCAGTACCAGCTCGACTCGACTCGACTCGACTCGCCTTGGCTCGCCTCGACTCGGCTCGCTTTTCGCTCCGTTTTCCATTGCAGAAAGTACCACCACAAATAGTACCCGGTCGTCATAGCGACGCATTTCGTTCCTCGTTGCCCCATCAAGCTCTCGCTGGATCCTCTCTTCGGCAACCAAACAAAGGAATGTCTGCACCTCCTCGTTTGACCACGGCGTATTCTTCCGAGTTGCCATAATAATAGTAGTAAGTTTAGTAACTATCTCTGGCCAAACTATTTAAAAATGGCGGGGTTATTCTGGATACTCCATCTGGCGCGTGCAATGATGACGCAGATTCTCTGTGACCAATCAGCAGTCGGCATTGTTTTCACGTCACATTTTAGTATCGGCTTAGCTCGCCTCAGCTCGCTTAGAACCTCGCCGGAGGTGGTACGAAAAAAAGTACCCGAAAGCAGGTACAGGTACAACTTTTACACAGTGGAAAACCAAACAAAGGCGAGTCGAGTCGAGCCGAGCCGAGCCGAGGCGAGCTGGTACTGTGTAGTGGAAAAGCGCCATTAGTGTAGTGCTATTAGTGTAGTGTAGCAATATGCTATTTTGTTGCAATATGCTATTGCTACACTTAATGGCAAAAATTGCACTGGTCTGCTGGACTTGGTTGAACAAAAATAAACAATATTTTGTTGCTTAAGCTTATGTATGCAGTCATTATTCAATGGTATACTAAAAATCCATGTGAAAAAAATTACTTCTCACAGTTCTCAGGTCAAAAATGTATGCGATTAAAATGCGATTAATTAATTACAAAGCCTCTAATTAATTAGATTAATTTTTTTAATCGAGTCCCGGCCCTAGGTGATATCTGCTAGTTAAAAAAATTACCCTATTCACCTTTAGTGTCTCGCCTTAAGTACTGTGTAATAATAATTGACTACATGTACTATAGGGTTAGGATTAAGATGTGGTTAAGGTTAGTTGTATTTATTAGGGCTGCAACAACTAATCGATAAAATCGATAATAATCGATTATGAAAATCGTTGTCAATGAATGTCATTATCGATTAGTTGGTCTGCTTACGTCACGGGGAGCGTTTACTGGTGATTGGTTGAAACAGGCCAATCAGGATGCTCTCTGTCTTACACGCGCTTCATGAGGCACACACGCAAGGTCTCTCTCCCTCCGTTGCTCTGCCGCGCGCTCGCGCTACACGGTTTGGAGCCAAGGGGGTAATCCATCGACCGGAAGTTGAAGCCGGCCGGGTGCCGCCATGTTGTAGCAGAACTTCAATTGCGTTAGCATTTCCATTGACTCCCATTCATTTTTGCGTCACTTTGACAGCGAATAACTTTACATCTGAGGCGTTTAAAGACTCCATTTGTCCATTATTTATTTCTAAAGAAACACGACAATGTATAAAGGGCTCCATTACCTTCTATGTTACACTATGGCCCCGTAGAAACAGATTTAGTAAAAATAGGCTAACGATTGCGTCATAACCACTCGACTCTCTGTCGCGCTGTACAGAAGTTACCGTACAGACAGGAGGAGAAGCTCGCAGGCAATCGGGGGGACGTCCCGTCAAGGGAGAAGCCCATAGATAATGAGTCCATAAAAGCAACGGAATTCTTACTCCTGCTCACTCACGCCAAAGAACTCTTTGCTCAAGTTCCCCGTCTCTGCAAGATTAACGTTGGCAGTTTTCACGCACAGCTACTAGAAGATTAACGTCTGTCAGACAGGTTGCTCACGTCATCAAGCTTAGTTTGAGTCGGTTTGAGTCTGCGCGTCAGGAACGGAAGTGCTCAAAAATCGCTAAAAGTGGGCTTCAACTGTCTCAACTGAGTTCCAATGAGATCGCTCTGTCCATTTCTTTTACTGTCTATGTTTGGAGCACAGTCTCTTCTGTCTCGCATGCGCGCTCTTGCTTGCGTGCTCAAATCCCGGGAGTTTGAACTAATTTGCGAGCCGCTATCAATATGCGGGTGACTTCCAGAACTTCCGGGAGACTTGGGATGTCTGTATTTTGCGTCTCGAGCATCAGGTTGCGCAATCAGTTCGCTCGCAACATAAGTGATGGATTAAAATAGTGCTACCGCAGAAATATTAAATTAAAACGGTCTTTACAAAGCGAAGGACTAAATATAAAGGCAGTTAATAACACCAGCAGTAAATTATTGTTTTTTAGTCACTGTACTCAGTGGTTTTCAGCGAATGTTTGTGCACTAATGCATCATTTTTCCTTTCTTTTTAATCAAGCCTGTTAGCTTGCTGCGTACCATTCCGCTCTCTTTATATAGCATTTGTCTACTATTAAGTTTTAATTGTTTTTCAAACGCGATCTACTGCGGCTTTCTATATTTATTTTTTACAAGTTATCCTTATAATTCAATTAATTTTAAATAAAACATTAAATGAATTATATATTTGAGATGTTTTTAGTTTATATCTTCACATCTGAACAACATGTCTGTAAATTTGTTTTAACAAAAATTGTGTTAAAACAATATGTTGGATATAAATGTTTTTTTTTTTACATTAATCATGGTTGTCAACTTGCCATCAGCAATTATCATTAAAAACAATGCAAATATTGATATTTGTAAAACTCAATGTGTGGCTTTTGCACTTTTTAAAGTACACTTTTACACATAAATATCCTAATTGAGGGTTTTAGGTAACACTTTATTTTACGGTGTCCTTGTTACATATGTTACATGTACTTACTGTAGTAATAACAGTAAATTATGCATAATTACATGCAACTAACCCTCAACCTAATCCTACCCTATTCCTATAGTAAGTACATGTAGTTACTTAATATTACTCTGTACTTAAATATATAATTACACTGTAACAAGGACACCTTAAAATAAAGTGTAACCGGGTTTTATTTAGTCATAATAAACAAAAAATCTAATTGAAATTTTGTCCGATTAATCGAAAAAATAATCGTCCGATTAATCGATTATCAAAATAATCGTTAGTTGCAGCCCTAGTATTTATACATGTAAGTATACACAATTTATCGTAATTACTGTAGTATCTACATGTAACAAGAACACTCTAAAATAAAGTGTTACTCAAAAGTCTTATGGGTCTGAAACAACATGAGGGTGAGTAAATGATCAGTATTTTCATTTCCGGGTGAACTACCCCTTTAAAAGGGACTACATTAAATAACCAGCAAGCTATATATGAGAACATGTCTGTGCATGGCATTATCATTTTTGCTTTTTTGCTCTCATGGTAGAACTAAAGACTGAAAAGATATATAAAGGAGGGTTTAATTTTGATGATCTTTTACCAGGATTCTTTTAAATCCAATGGTTTATTCATTGACTGATCACTCCTCGTGGACTCATGGCTGGGACATGGAGAAGATCTCCCCATCTGCATTGAGCTTCAGAGAAACAGAGACATTACAATTTAATAGTCCCAACAGTGTTTATTTATTTATTTATTTATTATTATTTATTTTTTTGAACATGATCTCTTTTTAGAATCTTGTTGCTTTACATGACATTACATAAACCTAAAAATGAAGCTTAATTTTTATTACCGGTAATCTAAATATTTTACCTGGATTCTTTTAAATCCGGTGGTTTATCCATTGAATGTTCACTGCTCGTGGACTCATGGCTGGGACATGGAGAAGATCTCCCCATCTGCACTGAGCTTCAGAGAAACAGAGACATTACAACATTAATTCAGCGTAGCTTCCTGTCATTCAGATTGAAGTGCAGCACAATTAAGTAGGTGCAATTGAGAGAGAAAGAGTCAATATTAATAAATAAATGTGAAATTGTGAGATATAAAATAACATATAGCCTAATTTATAAACTAAAAAGTGAAGGAAGGACGCTTTAATTTTATTACATAAACCTAAATCATGATTATTTACCTGGGCTCGAGTTGATCCATTGAATGATTTCTTCTAATGACCAGGTCTGGTTAAATCTGATCTCCCCTGCTGGTGTCACGATCACAGACTCCATGACCTCCCTCTCTGGCCGCCAGAGGGCACCCTCGCCCGAATACTGACTTTCCGATACGAACTGCAATTCCCATGATACATCATTCCTGGACTAATCCCGCATCCACCTGCTATCACTGATCACACACGCACCTGCATCTCGTTCCCTACCCACATAAAAAACACACTCACATTGTAACCAGTGTGAAGTCTTGTTTTAATGCTGTGAACAATTCTGAAAGTATCTCCAGTGTTCTGCCTGCCTGTCTGTGTTTGACCCTTTCTGAACTGATCCTCTTGTTGCCTATAGATATATCCTCTTCATTGACCCACTGCCTATCTGGATTCTGTCTCGCTCGCTGCCAGCCTCTGAACCCTTGCCTGGTTTTCACCACATTTGTGCCTGCTCTGCTCTGTTGATCTTGCCCGTGCCTGACCTTTGTCTGTCGACCATTCTCTTAATAAACTTGTTGCAAATGGACCTGACTGATTCTGATGATTCCCAACAGCTGGATTGTGTTTCAGTGAAATAGAAATGGTGGTAACATAATATTAAGTTATTAAGTTTTTACAAAGTAAGAAACAAATTTCACAGCCTTAATGATATTTAGTTTAACAGTGTATTTAGTTGCCAACCTGTGTATAATAAGCCAAGATTGTATGTTTTTGACAGCAAATAAAGAATCAGTTACAAAAAATATTGGTACCGCTTTAGATTACAGCCCGGAAAGTACTGCGTAAGTAAAACGAATTTACAGCATAACTTTGTGTAATTATAGTATACCTATAAAGTACTTAGAGTACATGTAAGTATAAGGTAACAATATGTAACGTTTGTGATGGGTCAGACTAAGAGCGGTTCAGAAGTGCATTAGATGCAAGAAAAATCGAGTCCCTGGGAGGAGTGCTGGAAAGTGCTCCGACTCGTTCTACTGGGGGACTTCAACGCCCACGTGGGCAGCGACAGTGACACCTGGAGGGGTGTGATTGAGAGGAACGGCCCCCCTGATCTGAATTCGAGTGGTGTTCTGTTATTGGACTTCTATGCTAGTCACAGTTTGTCCATAACGAACAACATGTTCAAGCATAAGGTCGGAGGCCGGAGGTCGATGATCGACTTTGTGGTTGTTTTATCCGACCTCCGGCCGCATGTCTTGGACGGCTGTCAACTGATCACCACCTGGCGGTGAGTTGGATCCAATGTCAGGGAGACAAAAAATCAGGCCTTGGAGGAGTTCGGTGAGGCCATGGAGAAGGACTATCGGTTGGCATGGAAGAGATTCTGGCAAACTGTCTGGCGCCTCAGGACGGGGAAGCAGTCCCCCACCAAAACTATTTACAGTGGATCCGTCCTGACTACCTCAAGTCTCTGGATGTTGTGGGGCTGTCATGGCTGACACGCCTCTGCAGTATCGCGTGGCGGTCGGGGACAGTACGTCTGGACTGGCAGACCAGGGTGGTGGTCCCTCTTTTCAAGAAGGGCTCCGGAGGGTGTGTTCCAACTACAGGGGGATTACACTTCTCAGCCTCCCCGGGAAAGTCTATGTCAGGTAAAGCCAAGTAAAACTAAAACTATTGCAAGTTTATTTTTGCTTAAATACTGAGGAAATATACTCTTGTTCCCTGAAGTTACAGGGTAAGTACGATAAAAATACATACAATCTGATATCACTGACTCTGAAACCTTAATAATAATTTAAAAAAAAAACTTATTTGAAAACATATTTACAACTTTACCCCTTTATTTTCCAAATTTTACATATTGTTCCCTTATACCTACACGTATGTACTTTATAGGTACACTATAATTACTGAAAGGTACACTGCAAATTAATTTTACTTACGCAGTACTTTCCATGCTCTAATCTAAAGCGTTACCAAAATATATATATTTTTTTTTTTTGTAATAAATAAAAACACTTACTAGTTGGCCTCAGTATTAGTGGAGCATTCGGTCACAACATTTTCAGAACTCAATCCAGCTATAATGACTGAAAATAAGCCAAACAATAGTCATAGTAACAAGTAGCTACAAATAAAAATGCAATGAAAAATACTGGCCTGTAGTCACGTACTGTAAACATTCCTATTGTTTTTTGCTTTAACCAAGAGTTATCTCTCAAAACAACAGTTGTTTTTGTCACGGTAAAAGACAAACATGTAACCAAACTACTTGTGTACCTTGTGGTATTTACCTAATTCTTTCAGACAGGTTAACTGATAATAAGACTGCTTTCAAATTCCAAATTCACATCTGAAAGTAAAATAAAAACCAGCCAAAAATTACTTAGCTATTCATAGTCTCATTTCAGTAGGCCTATATATAAACAATATTCAATGTATACATACTTATAGTGTTAACTATAGTCTGGCTGAACCAACTCTTTTTTCTTTTGGAGTTTTTTGAGGAAATAACAGATACAAAGTATATTCAAAAGAAATCGACATGTAAAAAGCTGATAGATGAACAATGTTTCATATCAAGCTAACAATAATAATAAAAAACATCTTGTAAGAAGAATTAACAACATTGTAAAATTCAAAAGTTTGTTTATACTCACTTTGGCATTCTGTTTTTAAGAGCATTATCTTTAGGAACAGCAGAACTTCAATCTTAATTGGATCTTATTGAATCTTTCAATCTTTATAGTAGCTAAACATATTATCCAGCCCAGATGGCAACAACCACGCAAATCAGTCAACTAAGATGTTTTCAGGCAATTTCTAACTTTCATTTCTTTTCACTTCACAGAAATGTCTGACAGCTCTCAGAGCACCACCCACCCTCATCCCCGAGATCACGAGAGTAGCCTATCAGGTAAACAACTGCAAGAAGTAGGCTACGAACAGGACAGACCAGTTTCAGGTAGAAACATTGAAAACCCGGACCATATTCACAAAACATCTTAAGGCTAAAAGAAGCTCCTTACTTGCAAACTTAGGAGAACTCTAATGGTAAGATAAAATGTTTTGTGAGTTTCACTGATCACGGATCGGTTTGAGCGCAAGAGGGAAACAATCTGTGGCTCCGCTCCGCTCCACTCACTCCAGGCCAGCTTTTGTTTGCTTAGCAACTGTTACTGAAACAATTTTCTTCTACGACGCCAACGGCATTTAAAAAACAAATAAAAACAAAATTGAATTGGCTTAAAATAAATTTGAAACAAATTATTGCAACTCACCCTGTCTTCCTGTAATACTTGACATGTGGCCATAATTGTCATTCAGTATGTCAATATGCCTATTGGCGATAGTATCAACAAGTAGGCGAATATGTAGGACTAATTTAAATGGGGTTTTTACAGCCTACCTTTTCTAGAAGTCCTTCCTGAGCACGAGTTACGTTTTTTTTTGTTTTTTTTACATTCTGATTGCTATAGATAGGCTACTTCTCATTCAAATATTTGCTAGTTGGGCGTACACTATTACAAATCATATGACAAACCACAAACCAGACTCCTTTAGAGAAGTTCATTTTAATTTAAAATGATCGTAAATCTTCACTTAAATTCACATAATTTGAAATTCCAGAGAAAAACAGCTGGATTTTTTTCCTTCAACATGTCTTGTTTATACACAAATATTTCAATAATAATAGTAAGACCATTTTTTTTAACAACAATTGGGATTAGCTGCACATTGGACTTTATATCAATCTGCAACATTTACAATATAATTACAATATAAAAGCACAAAACCTAATCAAAACTATATTGTAAACAACTAAATATAGGCCTATTTAGGTTAAAAAAGAGGCATAAATAACTAAATATTAAAGATAATTTGGTCACCATGATTTTGCCAAGTAAGACGTGTTCATGGGTCAACATATTTTGTTGGTCCTGAAACAACATTCCTGTATGTAAACATAGTCCTTACCCTATCCCTACCCATAACCCTACCCATCAGAGGGAAATGACAGGTGAATAACACTGGTGTAGAAGCACATAACCCTAATTTAAGCCTAAACTTGACATAACTTGTTGCACTTGGTGAAATCATGTTCACCAGTCCAGTGACCAGATCATTTAATAGAGGCTGCCCCCCACATGGGAAGTTCATAGAGAACGTTCATGTTTACATTTTCATAATGAATGTGGCCATCTGCTGGAGAGAATCTGAAACATCCATCACCATCAAAATGTGTTGGACAGTTTAAATCAAAAGAACCATCAAAATGGAGCTGATCAAAACTAACAGATTATTTACATTGGCAAGTAAATGGTGAAAATGAATGAGGAATTAAAACACTGTGTATCAGTCACTGGTACAGCAGCAACAAATCCACTAAGCGGCCCATCCGTCAGTTCTCAGCTGAACTCTTCAAATGCAGCTTAAAAAAATAAAAAAATAAATTACATTTATTTCAGATAAAATGTATTTCTTCTGTATGTTGAAAATATCATTTTCAAAGTGTTAAAAGCAACATATATTAATTAATTGCATTTAAAAAAAAAACTCAAACTCACCGTATTTCAGTTTATAGTGTGGATTGAACTTTATAGCAGTGAGCAGATTAGTGCCCGTGTCTGTGAGTTTATTTTTAGTCATATCCAGCTCTTTCATGTGTGAGGGATTTGATCTTAGAGCTGAAGCCAGAGCAGCACAACCTTCATCTGTTATATCACAATCCCTTAGCCTTTAGACAGAACAATTACACAGTATTTACACTCATTTCAGAACACGCAGTTACTTCACTATATGCACTCGACTTTATTATATACTTTTTCCTTAGTAGGATCACAAATCCTAAATACTGATCTTACCACAATTTCTCCAGTTTAAATAGAGGACTCCAGAGTTCGTCAGAGAGAAATTGTACTCCTGCATCTCCAAATTCATTCTCAGACAGATCCAACTCTCTCAGGTGTGAGGGGTTTGATCTCAAAGCTGAAGTCAGAGCTGCACAACCTTCATCTGACAAGTTACAAAATCTCAACCTGCAGAGAGAACAATGGGACATTCTTTAAATTATTTACATTTGATTAGTTCATTAAGAAACTAGTACATGTGCAGTGTTACAACACCACTAATATCTTAGGAGAGAGGGGAAAACACCAGTAGGATATATTTGGAATTGTGTGATGTGTTCGATTTACATTTTTTAAAAGTTGTATATGAAAAACGAAAATAGATCATTTTAAAGTGCTAATTTTCCTGGTAAACCATTACAATGAATTAGATTCCTCTACAGTACATCATGTGCTAACGTAACATAATTTTGTTAGCAGACAGTGGTGACTCTTGGAACATCTATATGACTAGCTTCTTAACTGGACTAATTAAATTCAACACATCAGACCATTTCATTTACTTTTTTATTATCTATGGGTCTTGAAGAACTTACTTCAGTGTCTCCAGTTTACACTGAGGATTTTTTAGTGCATCAGAGAATAGCTTCATTCCTTGATCTCCTAGGTCATTTTCAGACAGATCCAGCTCTCTCAGGTGTGAATGGTTTGAATTCAGGGCAAAAGCCAGAGCGGCACAACCTTCATCTGTGATACCACACCGCCACAACCTGCGGACAAATAACAAACAATTCTGTTTGCTTAATTTCAGGAATACAGCGCATGATACACTATGTAAAATAAAATACTAATAAAACTTCAAGGATGGTTATAAAACTTCAGACAAACATTTTAAACTGTGTAGTGTGCATTCGTAGTTCAGAAATGGAGGACATCTGAAGTCAATGTTTAAATATTGTTTATAATAGAGTTAAAATAAGTCTTACCACAGTGTTTCCAATTTGCAGTGAGGACTTCTCAGTCCAGCAGAAAGTAACTTCACACCTGAACTCTTCAGATGATTGAAGTTTAAGTTCAGTTCTCTCAAACATGATGATTCTGAGCCGAGAGCTAAAGCCAGATCAGCACAGCAATTCTCCGAGAGACTACAACAGCCAAGCCTGGAAATAAAATAAGATCACCTTTATGTTTTCATGTATTTTATGTATTTGCATGTGCTAATCAGTTTATACAAACAATACTTTGAACCCGCAGCTTTTAAATAAAATATCAGTGCACTTAAATGACACCAGGAAATATAATTTAATGCTTTTAATAATAAATTCTAGTCAAATGGACACATCTGTACAAACACATCAAAGAACAAAGGATCTGTGTGTAGGATCTGAATATGTATATTTAAAATATACATTTTAAATATAATTTAAAAATTAAAAATGGTTTTAGATAAGTATAGCATGTCATACTGCAGGGCACTACTAGAAACATCATGTCATCTACTCATGTAGACTGTCAATCACACAGATCAGAATGTGATTCAGAAGCTCTATAAACACTTCACATATTCTTAGCATAAAATGCAGACTCTCTTTATTATTGTGGTGATAAGGTGAAAGAGCTGTTCACTTACTGAGCTGATCTGGATGCTTCAACCACAGGCAGAAGATTATGGAGAACTTGATCCTGCGTGATATTTTTTTTGGTTGAACTCATCCCTGATGTATTCCTTTAATTCAAACACTCCCAGCTGCTCTGACGTAAGCAACACAAAAACCAGTGCTGACCACTGTGCTGGAGACAGATTGGCATCTCTTATCATCCCAGTGCTGAGATAGTCTTGGATTTCCTTTTCCAGAGTATGATCACCTAGTTCATTCAGACAGTGAAACAAATTGGTGGATTTCCCAGGAGAAAGATTGTCTCTAATCTTCTTCTTGACGTACTGGATAATTTCATCTGTGTTGTGAGACATTCCTCCTGTTTGTGTCCGTAGGCACTTAAAAAGAGTTTGATTGGACTCTAACGAGAGACCCAGAAGGAAGCGAAGGAAGAGGTCAAGATGGCCATTCTTACTTTGCAAAGCCTCTTCCACAGACCTCTCATATACTGTGAAGCATGCTGAGGACTGAACATTGTATGTTAAGCCCTGGTATTCACTAAGAACATCTACATATTTCAAACTGAATGAAAACAACACATACAGAGCAGCCAGATGTTCCTGCGTGCTGAGGTGAACAAAGCAGTAGACTTTCCTCTGACACACACCAAACTCCTCTCTGAAGATCTGAGTGCACAATCCTGAGTACACTGATGCTTCTGTCACGTCAATGCCACACTCTCTCAGATCTTCTTCATAGAAGATCACATTGCCTTTCATAAGCTCTTGAAAAGCCAGTTTCCCTAGTTTTAGGATCATGTCTTCATCTGTCAATTTCTTCTCATAGTCCTTCTCATGTTTGATGTTGGTCTGAAGGATCAGGAAGTGTGTGTACATTTGCGTGAGAGTCTTGGGAATCTCTCCACTCTCTGCTCCACTCAACATCTTCTCTAGAACAGTGGCTGAGATCCAGCAGAACACTGGGATGTGGCACATGATGTAGAGGCTCCTCGATGACTTCAGGTGTGAGATGATTTTATTGGCCAGACCCTGATCAGTGATTCTCTTCCTGAAGTATTCCTCCTTCTGTGGGTCATTGAAGCCTCGTACCTCTGTCACTCGATCAACACACTCAGAGGGGATGAGATCAGCTGCTGCTGGTCTGGAGGTGATCCAGATGAGAGCAGAGGGAAGCAGATTCCCCAAAATGAGGTTCATCAACAGCACGTCCACTGAAGCTGATTCAGTCACATCACACAACCTCACGTAGTTCTGAAAATCCAGAGACAGACGACACTCATCCAAACCATCAAAGATAAACATGATTTTACCTTCATTTAGAGAGATTTCCAGTTGTTTTGTGCCCATGAAGAACTGTAGAAGATCTTTAAGACTGAAT